ACTAATTATAGATTTTTAAACCCTATATCTTAAAATTCTAAACACAACAAAATGTTTTGACCCCTAAACCCTCGTAACTAAATCATAATAGAACATAATTAACTCAAACATAAATAATATAAGAAAAAAATAATTTTGAAAAAGTGGCATTTTTGTAAAGATTTTAAAAGTGTGGCATTTTTGTAAGTGACACTTGAAAGTAGCATTTTTAAAAAAATTTCAAAAATATATATTATCAGAATTTAAATCATACTCTTAGTAGCAGATAAAATATATATTTTAAAATATTATGAATATTTATGATTATGTGATAGAAATTAAATTAACTAAAATACTATATAGTTAAATCAGAAAAAATCAATTTTATGTTAGTAACCTCATAAAAACTATAAATAATATTTTGAAACATCACATAAGTACATGATTGATAATTATATTTTATTAATATCATCATTTTGTTTCTCATTGAGATTTTATACTTGTCAAATTTTATACAATATTAACTTAATAGTAAATATAATATTACTTATTTTTAACTTATATAATTTTCAATATATATACTTGAAAAATACCGATGGCGTCATATTAATATTGACACATATTAATATTGACACATGTCACAATCTAAATTAACGATTAAACATGTCATGATCTCATGAATAAGAATTTTGTTTGTGTCGCGTTCTCATTTTGCGCATTCTCCTTTATATAATAAGATATTTGTTGGCTTCGTCTATATATCTAATGGTCGAAGCATTATCATAAATCCACTATCTTGTACTCTTTTTCATTCACTTCTGCTAAATTTCTTATTCAAAGTTTAAGATATTCTGTCAACCATCTTTTTCGGTCGGGAATTACTGTTTTCTTCTCTTCGTTCGTTTTCCAATTTCCTTTCACTGTTTTCATTTTATTGAAGATTTTCACCGTTTTTATCTTTTCATACTCTGTATTCTCTTTCATTAAACCTTTATGCTTCGGATAGGAAAAATATAGATAAGACATGAATTTTGTCCCAAAACAAAAAAAGACATGAATTTTGTTTTTGCTCGAAATGGATATTTAGAAAAGTGACGACGACAGTTTAGTTTTTTGAAAGCCCATAAGCCCAATTAGCTTTTCGTTTTTGGA